TGTAGACTTGAAAAAAGTCCTCTGTGACCCCCTAGGTGAGTGCTGCCGACCCCGTACTCTCGATTCTCAAGGTTCTGTCCAAGGTGACGTCCAGAAAGCAGAGAGTCCTGGGTAATTAAAGGCTGTGTGTCTTGGGCGCGGGAACAGGTGCAGGAGCTGGTTCTGGAACCGGGCCCCTCCCCACCCCTGCTTCTCTCTCTTCGGAGGCCCCGCTGCCAAGCCCCCAGGCTCCCTGATCTTCTGTCCTTCTCCTCTACTCTACTACAAGCCCTTTTCCTCTTCCTTTATTCCCTAATTATCCCCAGCTGGAGTGATTTTTCAATCACAGTATCTGAAAAAATTTCCTGAAGCTGAAAGAGGTCTCCAGAGGTCAATGCCCATATGCTGGTTCCTGAAGAGAGCCCCTGGCTAGGGGGACCCTCACCAACACTCATGGGGCATCAGGCATGTTTCAGGGTCGACCACCCCCAACAAGAGTTTGCTGTGACCCCAGGGCCCGCACAGCTTCCCTGATCACAAAAATGTATTTGGACCACTTATCCATTATTAAGAAGCAAAAATTTAAAAAAATTGCCCATGTCCTTTCTTAATAAAATTATTTATGAGGTGGAAAAAGAAATTGTAATATAAAAGAAAAAATTTGACTCCATATTAGATGTGTTCCTTTGGCTTTAAGCCTGTGCCCTGTTTTCTAGGCTCAGACTGCTAGCTCTGGATCTTTTGTAAAAGAAAGTTGCCTTTGGCCTGAAATATCCAGGAGACTATTCTCTGGGCTTTGATCTTTAAGGATGTTAGCTCTTCTGCACATATGTAGACATGGCAAATTGTAAAACAGAGAATAAACTTTTTTTTTTTTGGAGGTTTTACAGGGGCACCATGATTTGACCCACATGGACAGCTGCAAGAACAAAGGATTCCAAGGACAAACAATTTGTACAGCAAGAAGTTTGCAACAACCAACCACACCCCTGCCCCTTTTTAGTATAAAAGGAGACTGAATTCTGTCTTGGGGAAGAGGGTTCTCCAGGATATCAGTATGCCATCTTCTGAGTCTGCCAGTTTTTCAATTAAGTCACTATTCTTTGCTCCAAAACCTCATCTCCTGATTTATTGGCCTGTCATGCAGCAAGTAGAACGAGTTTGGACTTGGTAACAAAATGACTGCATTGGTGGTAATATGTCTCCTCTGTTTCCTCATTTCCAATATGTCACAACCTATCAATTTTATATGCTGTTTAACAACACGACCAAAAAGCTATCTTAGGGAATTGATTCTATGGAAATAAAGTTATTTCTACTCCTTAAAAACTTTTTTTTTCTTTTCTATTTTATTTTGTTTTGCTTATTGAAAAGAAAATAAAAGTGAAATCATTTTATTTCACGTACTTTTGTTACAGATACATATTTTAAATACTACACAAATATTTAAATTGCATTAAAAATTGTTCATATATTATTATAAACATATATACCCAATCAATGCAGATTAGGAAACGAATGGATATTTACTAAAAATCCATTGCACATCCAGTCTTTTACAAGCGTATCCTGGAATATAAGCTCTAGAATCCAGGGGCCCCACCCCCTTTCTCCCTCGCCGAGTGCCTTAGTAATCAACAACCAAGGCACCATCATAGAACCACGTGATCAGTATTTTAGGTATAAATGAGGGAATTAGCTCATTCAATTCTAAAACAAAAACCTTAAAATAAATACTGAACTTATTTACACACAAAGAAATTTTTACACAAAAAAGTAGTTTCTTCCCCAAGGTCACTAAGCTAATAACTGGTAAAGGCAAGATTGGAGCTCATCTGCCTGATTCTAAAAACTAACATGGAAATCACATTTGATTGTGGAGGGTCCAGAAGCACAGCCTATCACCCTATCTTTGTTCAGATCTAGCCTTAGACAGCCTAAGACAGCACCCCATTCCTATGGAACTCGAGGGCTAACGATAAAACAAAGGATTTTATATCCAGTAATTTCTTAGGTCTCATTTATATTAAGTGTCAGCAGGTCAGCAGAAAAAAACTCTGGGAAATATGAGTGGGTCCAGAGCTTTTTGCTGATTACAAACTCTATTTATCAGGACAGAGTGATCTTCCCATGAGAGGCCATATGGACCTAAATTAAGGCAGGTGAGCAATGAAAACTAGCAAGACCCTGGAATTCAAGCAAGAAGAATCCCTGCCATCCCCCACCAAGTTGTCTCTTCACCTGCGTGGACACGATGGCAGAAGATCCAGGTTCTTGTCCAAGTTACACTATCATGGATTCTCACCCATAAGCATTTTCGACTCTATGCTGTCTTAAGTCCTTCCCAACTCAAATATGATGACACCAATATCTCAGCAGAATGTCTATGTCTCCACTTCCTCTCTTCTATTAGAATAATTCTATGGCCACAAAGCAGAAATCCAACTAAAAACACCATGCACGAAGCCAGGTGAAACTCTGCATAAGACATTTTGCTCTCACGGTCAGTGAATGAAAACTCAGAATAAGTGGTTCTTCTCCCACAGTAAGCGGGA